CTTTGAATTTGAGTTTAATTAAGATCTTGATCCCTAAGTTATTCATTATGCAAGAAATTTACTTATTAAAATTAAAATTTTTCAAAAGTTAAGGGAGCCGCCTCCCTCACACGGTCACACCCTCTACCTCCACCACTGTTACAGACTTGATACGCATAAATTTACATAGAATCCTTCTTGTTTTGAACGTGCAAAATGAGGGAGCTTCACACCCTGAAAAGCAAGGTTAAGTCATTTGCCAAGCTGAGGGGATTTGAGATCGATACCATGAACCAACATTACACCGTCTAGAACTTGTGTCTTCATCTTTTCTCCCTAGCTATAGTCTAGTCTACATATCTTTGAAATTAATTTGTGTTAGCAACAATATCTATCGTTGTTGGATTTGTGCAACCTTATGTGATAATTCTACAAAACTATATAATATAATTGAAATGGCTTTATTCATAGAATATGATATGACTCTTTATTTAATTAGGTAATTCTTTTAGTGATTATAGAACATATTCACTGTTTTTTTTTTTTAACTTAATTTTCTTTAAATGATGGTTCTATTTGAGTTTTAAGTCTAATATCTTACAATGTAAACTACAAACACAAGGGGCGAGGGACGTAGCACTCATTATTAAAACCCCCTTTTATTTTTATATTTTACAATTGGTTAAATTCCCATTTTAGTTCCTCTATTTTAGTAAAGAGTTCCCTTTTAGTCTTTCTACTTTAAAAAATCCTTTTTTAGTCCCTAAAATTTGAAATCTGACTCTTTTTTAGTTTCTCTGTTAAGTTTTGTATATGTGGCATATTAGATGGCAAAAATTTTAAAGTAAAGAGATCAAAAAGGGCCTAAAAAAATTAAAAATAGCCCCAATTTGGTTTCTCTACTATGAAAAAACGCCTTTTTGGTTCATTTCCTTTGAAATTTCTATCATCTAATGTCAAAACTTAATGAAGCGATTAAAAAAAAGTCAAATTTCAAACTTTAAGGATCAATAAGGAGTTTTTTTAAATAGAGGGATTAAAAACAAGTTTTTTATCAAAGTAAAGAGACTAAATTGGGATTTTTAACCTTTACAATTCAAATTACTCTAACAAAAGCACCTGCAGCTTTGGCTGCGTTGGTCCAGGTGCATCATACTCTTGGCCATTATCAGAGTTCTAACCGTTACAATAGCAATTCTTTATTCCCCTTTCTCCCAATTTCTCCACTGTTTAAATTACTCCAACAAAAAATTTTGTATCCGGCCCAAAAACACAATAAAAGGACTGCAAAAAGAAAATGGAGTGAGCCCAAAAGTTCTTAAAAATTAAAATACATGGGCCCAAAAT